GGCCAAATATTGTCCTATCCTAACAAACCATACATCAAGATGATGTATGATTGATGTATCAAGATAATTCAGATGATGTATAAATCTTATGACTGGTTTTGTGGTCCAGGGTCACAAATAGTAAATAAAACAGTTATCAAATAATCATGTGTCCTATTCTGTGTCCTAAAACATTGCTGTCTCATATTTTAGAGCAGTCAGTGCAATTTGGGAAAGAAATCAATCAAATCTGTATACTTACTATATAGTTAGGGTAAGGGTGAGGGTTTGATTTAGGGTTACTTGCATGTAATTATGCATAAGCATGTAACATGCAACAAGGACACCTTAAAATTAGTACTGTCAAACGATTAATCGCGATTAATCGCATCCAAAATAAAAGTTTTTGTTTACATAATATATGCATGTGTGCTGTGTATATTTATTATGTGTATATAAATACATGCATGTATATATTTTAGAAAAATTTTATGTTTATATATTAAATATATTTATTTATAATATAAATTATATGAATATAAATATAGACATGTAAATACATGTAAATATTTTCAAAATATATGCATGCATGAAAATAGCCTTGATGCTGGCATGGCGTTAAAAAGTGAATAAATAAATATGCATGTGTGTGTATTTACAGTATATATACATAATAAATATACACAGAACACACACACACGTATATTATGCAAACAAAAACTTTTATTTTGGATGCGATTGATCAGTTGATCTGTTTGCTTAGGCGCGCTAATGTTAGGAAGCTTGTTCATAAGTTCATCAGCCAATCTCAAAATATTCAAAGCAATAATAGACCTTAGACAGGTTATTACAGATGGGCATGCATTTTTATATTTTCATTTGAATGCTGTTCTTTTGACCTTTCTATTAGTCTTGAAAATATTATCACAGTTTCCACAAAAATACTAAGCAGCAATTTCAACATTGATAAGCAGAAAATTAGCATATTAGAATGATTTCTGAAGGATTATTTGATGATGATGATGCTGAAAATTCAGCTTTGTTGTCACAGGAAGAAATTACATTTAAATTGTAATATTTAAAATATTACTGCTTTCTTTTTAATTTCAGTTTAAGCAATTTTCCTATGTGATTTAGTTAGTGCTGTCAAACGATTAATCGCATCCAAAATAAAAGTTTTATTTACATAATATATGTGTGTGTGCTGTGTATATTTATGTACATATATGGTATATATTTTAAAAATATTTAGAGGTATCTACATGTATATATTTATATAATTTATATTATATATGAATATATTTAATATATAAACATAACATATTTTTCTTAAATATATACATGCATGTGTGTGTATTTATATATACATAATAAATATACACAGTAAACACTCATATATTATGTAAACAAAAACTTGTATTTTGGATGCGATTAATCACGATTAATCGTTTGAGAGCGCTAGTTGTCAATTTTATTTATTTTCATTTCAGATTTAGTTTTTGTTATATACGTGCATGTGTGTGTATTTATATATACATAATAAATATACACAGTAAACACTCATATATTATGTAAACAAAAACTTGTATTTTGGATGCGATTAATCACGATTAATCGTTTGAGAGCGCTAGTTGTCAATTTTATTTATTTTCATTTCAGATTTAGTTTTTGTTTTTATTTCCAGTTGGTAATTTTAGTGCTTATTTCAGTTAGTTGCAAAGTCACTTTTTTCTTCTTCTAATTTTAGTTTAGTTTAAGTTTTTAAAAAATTATATTTTATTTTTATTTCAATTAATAAAATATTAAAATATTAAGTTTTAATATTAGCTAACAATAATAACCCCGGCTAGATGCCATATTTAATGTGAGTCTAATGGCTGAGGCATAAGAATTCAGTATGTTTTACCATTGTTTTACATTTCCAGCCAATAAAACATTTAAAATATGTCTTTCCAAAGAACATGTAATCCTTCACAGCTCTGTTAAATTAAACTAAGGGCCATAAACATTAGCTGTGATAAGGTGTTTGATGTTTTCTTGTGTTCCTAAAAGGCAAGTTTAAGGGGTACAGATATCTTCTGCTCAGACATCAGAGGTATTTTTAGAGTGAGGGTTACTGCAGAAGGGGTCCTGAGGTCAGTTTGAAGGATGGATGAATGTGAGGAAGATGACACGATCCCTTTCGAGTCCCATTACTCTGTAGCTTTACTTAGAATGTAGCCTTAGTGAGCATAAGAGAAATTTAAAAAAATTCTGAAAAAAGTCTTCCAACAAAGAAATAATTTTTTTCAAGACAATAGTGCATTAGTTGTGCGAGTAAAGCTTAATTAGTGTGTTTGATTGTTCTCATGGTGCTCCAGAGAATAATGTGGTTTCATTGCACAAACCTGCACAACCTCATTTTTCAACAGTGCATAAAATGCAAACAATCAAAATTCAAGCCATTATTCACATTTTCAACAGAAAACATCCTCCCGTTGGTAGTTATTGCTTTGTGGTAGCATTAATGTGCACTGAATATGATCTTTTTTTTTTTCAGTGCAAGCTTAAAGGCAGTAAAAGCAAGCTTTTGTTTTCTCCTGTCCTCCTCTGCTGTGCTTCTCTTTCACTCCTCTGTTGATCTAGAATTGGCCTGTCTGAAGCGAGCCTTCGTTCTCTACCCCCCACCGACGGCTTGTGTGTCTAGTTACTGTTGCTAAGCGGGGGCCGAGGGCCTCTGTGTTTTGCGAACGTAGCGAGAGAGACCCCTCTGCCGTTTTAGTTTGTTCCTGTACAGCCTTTACACATACACACACACACACACACACTTACACACTCACACACACATACACACTCACACAGACACAGACACGCTCACATACACGCACACTCACTCTCACACACACACACACTCACTCACTCACTCCCTCACTCACTCACGCACACACACACATACACACTCACACAGACACAGACACGCTCACATACACGCACACTCACTCTCACACACACACACACTCACTCACTCACTCCCTCACTCACTCACGCACACACACACATACACACTCACACAGACACAGACACGCTCACATACACGCACACTCACTCTCACACACACACACACTCACTCACTCACTCCCTCACTCACTCACGCACACACACACATACACACTCACACAGACACAGACACGCTCACATACACGCACACTCACTCTCACACACACACACACTCACTCACTCACTCCCTCACTCACTCACGCACACACACACATACACACTCACACAGACACAGACACGCTCACATACACGCACACTCACTCTCACACACACACACACTCACTCACTCACTCCCTCACTCACTCACGCACACACACACATACACACTCACACAGACACAGACACGCTCACATACACGCACACTCACTCTCACACACACACACACTCACTCACTCACTCCCTCACTCACTCACGCACACACACACATACACACTCACACAGACACAGACACGCTCACATACACGCACACTCACTCTCACACACACACACACTCACTCACTCACTCCCTCACTCACTCACGCACACACACACATACACACTCACACAGACACAGACACGCTCACATACACGCACACTCACTCTCACACACACACACACTCACTCACTCACTCCCTCACTCACTCACGCACACACACACATACACACTCACACAGACACAGACACGCTCACATACACGCACACTCACTCTCACACACACACACACACACACACACACACAGACAGCAGTTCACCTTTGTACTGAACATTCAGATCAGCAGTGAGCACAGGACAATCTCTGTGTGCCTTTCAGAACTAAGAACAAGAAGGTGATGTTGGAGTCGTAGCCTGTTGATTAGTTCAAGGGCTTTTAAACATTTCAATGGCAAGAGTCCCCAAAAAACTACTTTATATTAGTATAATATGTGACCCTGGACCACAAAACCAGTCATAAGGGTAATTTTTTTTAAATTGACCCTTATGACTGGTTTTGTCGTCTAGGTTTATATTTGAAATCTATATAAATAATCTTTCCATTGATGTACGGCTTGTTAGGATTGGACAATATTTGAAAATCTAAAAGAAACAGGCTGAAAGATTTTTATTAGTTAAAAAATTAATGCTGTCAAATGATTAATCACACGCAAAATAAAAGTTTTTGTTTACATAAATGCACTAAATATCACAAAGAAAAATTAAATTTGCTACAGCAGGAGAAGGCACTTTTGTATGCTGTTTTGTATACAATAAATTATGAGCTTCAGAACGCGCAGACGAAACGCGCTCATGTTATTATTTTCAGAGCCTGCTGTTTGGGAACACAGTTCAGGGCAGTGTTAATTTTGACAGCAAATTTTGATTTAGTTTATAGTTCTTCAACATTAGTTCATAAGCAATTGCTTGGCATAAATGTGCATTTTTGATGCGCATTAAAGAATTTATTTAGTAAAAGTGTTTTCGATCGTAGTTTATGCACATGTTTTCTTACCAGATAATTCTTATTTATCCTACTTGGTTGAGTGCATAAGTTTTTTTATGTGCATTTTTAGAATTTTGCATCTTGGCGTTTCCATCCAACGTTTTTTTTTTTTTTTTATGCAATATCCCAAAATGCGCATAAAAATAGGTGGATGGAAACATAGCTATTGGGATCCAAAACTGTTTGGTTATCAACATTCTACAAAAATACCTTGTTTTGTGTTCCATAAATAAATGCATACAGGTTTGGAATGACATGAGGGTGAATGAGTATCATATTTTTAATTTTTGGGTGAACTATTCCTCTAACTTTAACAGTAAAGCATGGAGATCGCAACGCCAAGATCATGGGTTCGATTTGCAAGGAATGCATAAGCTCATACATAAACTTGCTTTGGATAAAAGCGTCTGCCAAATGCTTAAACGTTAGTGTGGATAAAAAAGAATAAGCACAGTGATCCCTAACATCTCTGTCTCTCTGTCTCTGCAGGTCTACACACAATGAGATGGAGAAGAACAGGTATGTGCATATAGCCTTTGTGGCGTTAGTTCTTATCTGTAAGCCTTCAGTATTATACCTCATTACATCCTTACTGATTAGATTCAGATTAAACTTCCTCGTCTCAGTTATTTTGGAGTCCACTAGCGGCCAGATAATGCTCAGAGATGAGTATTAAGGTTGATGTATCCATTCATCTGTGACCTAGAGATAAACCTGCATTAAATGTGTGACTTGAAATTTCGAACGTGAAAGATCTCGCTAATGAACCAGGCTTAATATCTCCATCACCAGCGCTGTATGGTTTGGGTAGCACGCGCACTGAGCTCAGCTTGCCGAATGCATTAAAGGGGTGGTTCATTGCGATTTCACTTTTTTAACGTTAGTGTGTAATGTTGCTGTTTGAGCATAAACAATATCTGCAAAGTTACGAAGCTGAAAGATCAATGCAAACAGAGATATCGTCTTTTAAAATTCTGTCAGTTTAATGCCTACAAAAAACATAATTAAGAGTCCTCTATCCATATTGCTTACTCCAGTGAAAAAGTAGTCCGGTCTGAATCAGGAGAGAAATATGCACAGTTCTAAATAAATATGAAGGTGGATTTCAATGTGAATTTTCACTTGACGAGCCATTATTATGGCTCATGTAGTGGTATTTTGGCCTGAAGAAACAGTTTAAAGTTAAAACACTGATGAATAATGGATTTGTTTTCTTACAAACACACTGATTTTCACTTCACAAGTCGTTAACTGATGGACTGGAGTGCTGTGGATTATTGTGATGACTGCACCCCATAAACACAATCAAGCCTAGAAAAAAAAACACCCCTTTAAATAATGCATGCTGTCAGGCTCAGCAATGAGCAAAACCAGGCTGTCTGGACTTTGACTTTTAAACTCCTAACAATGCATTCATTGGTGCTCAGCAAAGTGCGTCTCGGTCTGCGTGCAACTCGTGCAAAGCTCTGAGGTCACAGCGCTCCGGACAACTGATCTGCTATTCATTTCTGAAGAGCGGCTTTCATCTGCTGTTTAGAAAAATATCCAGGCAAAGAAGGAAAGCGAGGCTCCCCGTGTCTCTGCTTTTGTTTCAGAATGAGTCCAGGGCTGATATTCATAAAGCAATTCGAGTGGGAGTGCATTTGTGATGCAGATTTGAATAAACGGGCAGCATGTCTGATGTGAGACCAGCACAGCTGTGTAGTAATGATTCATGTGGTCGTGAACCTTTTTGGCTCAAAATATACACTACCGGTCAAAAGTTTGGGATCAGAAGGATTTTTAATGTTTTTACTGGAGTCTCTTCTGCTCATCCAGGCTGCATTTATTTGATCAAAAATACAGGAAAAAATGTAATATTGTGAAATATTATTATGATCTAAAATAACGTTTTTCTGTTTTAATATACATTAAAATCTAATTTATTTTTTAGAATTTTCAGCATCATTCCTCCAGTCTTCAGTGTCACATGATCTTCAGAAATCATTCTAATATACTGATTTATTATCAGTGTTGAAACTGTTGCTGCTTCATGTTTCTTTGGAAGCTGTGATACTTTTTTTCAGGATTCTTTGATGAATAAAAAGTTAAAAACATTTGGCCTGAAGAAACAGTTTAAAGTTAAAACACTGATGAATAATGGATTTGTTTTCTTACAAACACACTGATTTTCACTTCACAAGTCGTTAACTGATGGACTGGAGTGCTGTGGATTATTGTGATGTTTTTATCAGCTCTCATTCTGACGGCACCCATTCACTGCAGAGCATCCATTGCTGAGACACTGATGCATTTCTAGTAAGTGTGTTTTCAGACTAGTGGAAAGAAAACATCCAAAGGACACTCTTAAGTGTTTCTTTTATAGCACTTTATCTATTTGTGTCAATAGATTTCAATTACAGTACATATTTTTAAAGGCCGTTTTCTCAAAATGAGTTTTTTCTCCTACACTGAGCCATAAATCTCCACTTCAGTAGCACTTACACACACCAAACTTTACATTTATATTCCTGTCTGTATCCTGAAGGATTTTACAGAGGGATTTGTTAATTTATAATTTGCTTGATTATATACAACATTTTATTCCCCCCCAAAATTGTGAAAATAGTGTTTTCTGTCCGTTCTAAGCATTTTCTGAATTATGGAGTGGCAAAAATGAGAATTCCCTCTGTAACAACTTTTGACTCTAATATGTCAAAAAAATTAAACAAGAATTTTGAAACTGACATCATCCAGTGTTTAGAATTTTGTATTTAGAAATTTATGCAAATGAGCGCATATTTAAATAAATAATGACTCATTTGCATATTTAAACCTAACATTTTAGAAAACTTGTAATACAAAAAAATTATGTTTGCAATTATCAATGTAATCAATCAGCTGGGTAAGTAAGGCGATAACTATTAGTTGTTGTTTTTTACCCTATTCACCTGCAGTGTCTCGCCTTAA